AAAAAAAAAAAAAAAAAAAAAACAATTTTGGACAACTCGAAATTTACTTCTTTGTCGCGTTTAACGATCAGCCAACACAGTTATTTGGCTACTTCCTTTCTAATTTTGTTTTTACATCTTGAAGATTATTATTCGCCAAGACGTCGATGCGGTAAATAATGTTTTTAATGTCCCGTTTTAAGATACTTCCGCTATACGAAACGAACTTAATGAATACTTAAGAGAGAACGTTTACACTGCCTTTACGACAGCAATTATAACATTACAGTATGACGCAATGAACGATGATGTACGGTTCGTTATGCGGTGAAAGAAATTTGATAATTGTTTTGAGTTACGTCTCTTGGCGCAGAGGTTATACGAGAGTTTAAAGAGAATGGGATAATTTATCCTAACAAGGTTGCATTTTTAGATAACTTAATATCTTTGGAAGAAGCTAGTAAAAAGGGCTTCCCTTTACAGTTAACGAACTACGATATGAAATTGTTTAGAGAGAATTGGATAGGTTCTAAAGAAATTTATTATAATTATCCATAATTTTTATACATCTCTTTAATTTTTAAAGACACCTCGTCGTATTCAATCAATCAAAAACAGAATAGCAATAGAAACTACCATTATTACGAATTTCTCAAGGATATAAGATAAAATTTTCGACCGATTCCTCTTCGATTCGATCGTTTCCGTTTCGAATAGATACAGCCAAGAGAAGTTCCAAGAAGAAAATTTCCAATACGCTTTCTAAATTTCCAATTATCTTTAATAAATTCTACGAAATGTCGTGACCACCATCTTTAGAAATCTTTAACGATCTTAAATGCACGCGAGATTTCCAATCGAAAGATCCAATCTTTATTAATCTCGTGCGAATCCGATCGAGATGAAAAGATCAATCTCAATCGCGTAAATTTTCCAATTTTTCAAGACGACTCGCCTCGCCATCTTCGATGAATCGTCATCTCGAAAAGAAAAGAAAAAGACGAGAGACATGGAATGGAAAGGGGCGATTTAAGGTTCAACGACCATGCGAAAATCGGATAGAAGAAAAGGGCGCATTATTAGCTGTATAAGCGAGGAACGGCATCGCGCTTCCTGGGCCGTAAAGATGACGCGCTAATAGCTTCGTTTTATTATAGTCCTGGATCCAGACACCTGATTTGTTGCCGTATGTCAGAGTTGAATACTGCTCACGACAGTGGAGCAGGTATAACCGATGCGTGGGCGGACAACACTTGAACCGACAGCTGCTCTTTCACTTGCCACGTGAGAATTTAGTTTCTACGCAATGTAGAGATTCGTTCGCCGATGAACAGGGTTATGGAGTACGCTTTAAAAGAGAATAAATGTCATTGAAAGGCGGCGTGTACTCTCAAGTTTCGTGATATGGCACCCTCCTCCGCTTTGACAAGTTTCAGTAGAAACGTCTGGTCCAGAGAGAAATAAAAAAGAAAATGGAATCAATTGATTTCACGTTAAGCGTTATCGATTAACAATCTTTTCCTCCTTTCCGTCTTCGCATTTTTCATTCGAGCATATCGATATACGGTGCATAGATGCTTCAGCTATACGAGTGTTATGGTTTTGAAGAGAATATCTTGAAGCATGACAATGAAGTATATACTTTCAAGCTTTCACAATGGAGAAACTTTCCGGCGAAAGGATCTGTAAGTTTTAATTCTAAATTTTTTTTAAATGTGATGGAAGAAAGTTTTCAGAAAGTTTTTAAGATTTCATTCATAGTCTCTTGGAATTAGAAAATTGGAAAAATCGAATAAAAACATCACAAGATACGACTTAAAAATTAACAATCGATCAAACGTAGATAACGCTTACATATTTAAAACAGGGAATTCGAAATATTGTTTATCATTTAAATTGAGAAATCCCTCCAAAAAGAAAAAAAGAAGAAAAATCGTACGCAAACTCTTCCAAAATTTAAACTCCATTCGATTCCATCATCGTATGAATCAGCAAAATCTAATCCAACGATATTAATCGACACGACGAGACGAATCACCATTCACCTCGAACACCTCTCTCTCTCTCTCTTTCTCTCTTTCTCTCTCTCTCTCTCCTCCGCGTTGGAAACGAGAAAGAAAGAAAAGGAAAAGAAAAAAAAAAGAAATATTCGACTTACGTCATCTCTGTCCTCGCGGAGATCGTCGTCAGCGCTCTCCTCGAGGACGAAGCCCACGTCGTTGTTGTTCCTGGTGAGTGAGGGCAACTTCCTGGGTGTCAGCTCCTCGCCGTCCGTGTCTCTCTTGCGCTTGCCACCGTCCCTGTGCTCGTTCAGCGTGGTCTCGTGCTCGTCCAACATGTCGGTGACCATCAGTTCCGACTCGACGCTCGTCGGGGATACGACTTCGTCCAGCGGTGACATGGTCGACCTGTCGGCTTCACCGGCCTCCAGCACGGACATGATGGGCCACTTTTCCCGCCGCGGATGCCTCCTCGATGGTCACGATCACCAGAATTCGCGGACAGTCGGGCCTCGTCTTCGACAAGACGAGAGGTGGCAACGAGGCACCTCCACTCTTCAAGTGAGTACGGATCCACGTTCATAGATCCTTCCTTCGAATGCCCAATTTCCTTTCTATTCTCTAACTCTTGTCCATATCTCTTGTCCGATAAAGCTTCGTGAAAATAATTCCAACGCGTTCAATTGATGAACGCTCGTTCGACACTTTCCTTACACGCGTGTACGATAACACTCTCCTCTCGAATTCTTTTCCATTAGAGAGTACGTTGACGTATGCTCGAATCGTTATATATATATATACGTATATATATATATATTTCTCTTATCGATCAATTTCCTTCGAGCTCACGTCTTCGATCCACGAACGAATATCCAGGCGGTATTCGTTAAGAGCCGGCACGGATTCGAGGATCGTACGTGGCCAAGGATTCGTACATTCGTGACGAGTCCCCCGAAGACGCCCTGCCCGAAGACAATGGGCTGATAAATCGCCTGTCCCCGATAACGGTGCCGCTCACCGGTAAACAGAATCCCGGCCGGAGCACATCCAATTTTCCAAACGAGCCTGACCTTCTTTTTCCT